TGGCTCATGCACTCAGGAACCACTCCTGGCAGTGCTTGGGGGACCATATGGGATGCTGGGAATTGAACCTAGGTCGGCCGTGTGCAAGGCAAACGCCCTACCTGCTGTGCTATCGCTCCAGCCCTGGTTGATCTTTCTTGGGTTACCTGCAAAGGTTTTTAGTTCCCTGAAGAAAAGAATTGCCTTTGAAATTTGTTCATGTATTTTCATTGTAAATCTTAGCCATAAACATGTGCTTTTGAATGTATCTGAATAGTAAAAATTATGCAGTAAGTTTTTGGGTATTACGATTTAAAGAGAGTTATAATTTTGATTTAGCCTTTGCTCATGGGATCTATCATTAATCAGTTGACTGTAATGATGGACATCTGTTCCTTTTTTTATTTTTTATTTTTGCCTTTTGGGCACACCCAGTGATGCACAGGAGTTACTCCTGGCTCATATGCACTCAGGAATATGGGATGCTGGGAATTGAACCCAGGTCAGCAGCGTGCAAGGCAAATACCCTACCCACTGTGCTATTGCTCCAGCCCCCAGGACCCTTTTTATGTTTTATATGTCAGTATATCCTAAAAGTATTTGTTAACTACTATTTTTTTTAACCTTGTGTTTGAACCTGGGTCTCATGCATGCAAGATTTATGCTGTACTTCAGAACGACATCCTTAGCTACTACATTTTTGGAGATAATCTGGTAGCTTACTGATGGGTGTGTGAAGCAGTATTGATACTGTGTGGAACAATGAAAGAGTTTTTGGGGGGCTGGAGTGATAGCACAGTGGGTAGGGCGTTTGCCTTGCACGCGGCCTGATCCAGCATCCCTTATGGTCCCCAAGCACGGCCAGGAGTAATTCCTGAGTGCATGAACTAGGAGTAACCCCTGTGCATTGCTGGGTGTGATCCAGAAAGAAAAAAAAAACAAAGATTTTTTTTGTTTGTTTTCCTTTTTAGCTTCCAAATGCACAAGGCTTATTTCTGAACATAATATAGAAAGCAGCTAAAAAGAGTTGCTTTGTATTTCCCTCTGAGATTTTACTAAATTCTAAATGCCTTCTATTTTAATGTGTAGCGATAAAAATTATATATTGCAGGGGCTGGAGCAATAGCACAGTGGGTAGGGCATTTGCCTTGCACGCAGCTGACCTAGGTTCGATTCCCAGCATCCCATATGGTCCCCCGGGCACTGCCAAGAGTAATTCCTGAGTGCATGAACCAGGTGTAACTCCTGTGCATCGCCGGGTGTGATTCCCCCCCCCCCAAAAAAAATTATATATTGCAATTATTCTTGTTTTAAGGGCAAAAAAGGTATCAATTAGTTTTACAAATTATTCATATTGATCATTTACCTATAAGGTTCACCTGTGTCATTCTTTAATTCATTTCCAAAGATAATATATTTTGCATCCAAGTTGTAGTCTCATTCTGACAATGTAGTTGTGTTGTGTTTTTCATGAAGCTGTTTCTGAAATGTCTTTTTTTTTTTAACGTGATAAATTTCTCAAGCAGGCCCAGTAATGTCTCCATTGTGAGATTTGTTACTGTGTTTGGCATATGGAATACGTCACGGGGAGCTTGCCAGGCTTTTGCCTTGTGGGCAAAATACTCTCGGTAGCTTGCCCGGCTCTCCGAGAGGGGCGGAGGAATCGAACCGGGCTTGGCCAGGGTGGCTGCGCACAAGGTAAACGCCCTACCGCTGTGCTTTCGCTCCAGCCCTGTTTCTGAAATTTCTTAAGTTAAAGTGCTGATGTTGATATGAGAATTATAGCAGAATTGTCTTGCTTTTTTTCTTTTGATTCAAGTTTTTTAATAGCATTGTAACACTGTCCTCTCGTTGTTCATCAGTTTGCTCGAGCAGGCCCAGTAACGTCTCCATTGTGAGACTTGTTACTGTGTTTGGCATATCAAATATGTCACTGGGAACTTGCCGTGTGGGCAGGCTACGAGAGTAGCTTTCTGGGAGGGGCTGAGGATAGCACTTAAAAATTTTGTAATATAGAAAAGTACACAAAGTTTTATTATTTTAGAGTTGGTAGGAAAATAAATGAAAATTTGAGATCATTGTTAGATATGGCTTTAACTTCTATCGCCTCCAAATCACCTTAATTTTTCAACTTTTTTCTATTTCACAGAGTATTTTATAGAAAACTTTTTTTGCATATTTTTTATGTTGATAATTTGAAGAATTTAAGATGATTCCGAAGATTCTCGAGATGGTTCTAATTATTTTTAAAAATCAAGAACATGAATGTTGGGGCTGGAGAGCACAGCAGATAGGATTTTTGCCTTGCACATAGTTGACCCAGGATTGATCCCTGACACCCAGTATGATCCCATGAGTACTACCAGGAATGATCCTTGAGCGCAGAGCTTGAGCACTACCAGATGTGATGTTAAAATAAGCAAATAGACTGTGAATGTTGGTTGTTGGGGTTGGAGAGAAAGCACAACAGGCAGGGCACCTGCTTGCAGGCAGCTAACCTGGGTTTATCCCCGGTACCCTGTGTGGTCCCCTCAGCCCTGCCAGAGTGATCCCTGGCACAACAGTGTCACCATAAAAACCAAGGAAGTGTATTTTTTTAAATTAATTTTTTATTGAATCACCGTGAAATACACAGTCGTACAATGTTCTAACACCCATCCCTTAACTAGTGTACTTTTCCTTTCACCAGTATCCTCAGTTTTCTCCTGCCGTCTCCACACAAGCCTGCCTCTATGGCAGACACCTCTCTCTCTCTTTCCTTTTAGGAACTGTATTTTGATCAGAAGAATTTGAGTTCTATTTCTGGACCAGTAGGAGATAAAAATTCTTTTAAAAAATCAGTGTCTTGGATTAGCAACAGTTAAATTCACTGATCTCATGAGGGGAAAAAAGTTCTTTCTAAATCCCAAGAACTCTTACTGTTTTGCTTTGTTGACTGAAGGTGCAAAAATTCAGCTGAAATATTTGGTTATTTTGGAAGTTATGGTAATATATTTTTTAAGTTAGTTGTTTTGTATTTTCAATTAAAGGTCAAGGTGTTGGGCTAGATAGTACGGTAGGTGGGGCTCTTGTCTTGTACATGACTGACCTGAGTTTGATACCTGGTACCTCATATGCTCCCCAAGCCCCACTGGCTCTGAGTTCAGAGTCAGGAGTAAACCCTGGGCCCAGCCAGGTGTAGCTACACCCACCAAAAAAAAAAAGTCAAGGTGTCTCGGTGGAGACATGCTACTTTTATAGCTAATGGAACTAGGGGAAATGGAACAAATTCAAATGCAGAGGAAGAGTTAAGGAAGCACTTTAGATTTAAATAATATCTTTGGGTTCTATATAAGTAAATTTCTATTATGTTACCCAAACTGAGCAGTCTCCTAGAGGAGATGATTCTAAATGTTGGTTATAGATGTTGGGCTGGAGCGATAGCACAGCGGGTAGGGCGTCTGCCTTGCACGCAGCCAACATGGCCGACCCGAGTTCGATTCCTCCGCCCCTCTCAGAGAGCCCGGCAAGCTACCAAGAGTATTCGATATGCCAGACACAGTAACAACAAAGTCTCCAATGGAGACGTTACTGGGCCCGCTCGAGCAAATCGACGATCAACGGGAGGGCCTTTACTTTACTTTACTTTTAGATGTTGGTTTTGAGTTACATTGGCAATGTTTGTTTTTGAGCTACCTGGCTCTACACTTGGTGGTGTTTGGGGGATCACATGGGTTGCCAGGGATCGAACCTGGCTTGGCCATGTGCAAGGCAAGCATCCTACCTGCTGTACTATCTCTCAATTCCTGATTATAGACTTCTTGAAGGGATTAACTTTAATGGGACTTTAGGAGACCACTCCAAGCTCTTTGCTTCTAGGAAATTGTTCAGGAAGAGCTTGCAGTTGCTTTTGTTTTGGTGGGACTGGGGGGCTGCGTACACCCAGCATGCTCTTATGACCATGTAGTGCCAGGGATTGAACCTAGGTTTCCCTCATACAAAACATATGCTCTAGGGGCTGGAATAATAGCACAGCGGGTAGGCCAATCCAGGTTTGATTCCCAGCACCCCATATGGTCCCCTGAGCACTGCCAGGGGTATTTCCTGAGTGCAGAGCCAGGAGTAAACCCTGTGCATCGCCAGGTGTAACACAAAAAGCCAAAAAAAAAAAAGTGCTCTAGCCTATTGAGCTATCTTCCTATCACTTGGGTTTCTTTTTTTATCATGTGCAAAACATTCATTTTTTGCCAGAATTGTTTTAATCAAGAAATGATAATTTCCACTTCAGAAATGGAATATTTTTACTTAGAGATTACACAAAAGTAAATGGGTTTCCTATTTACACTAGGATATTTCACAGGTTTGATAAAGAAAAATTCTAATATGTCTACTAAAGGATATTTAGAGAAATGCAGACAAAAAAATGACAGTTATGGTAATAAAAAAAGAAAATGTGGCCTTTTTAAAGTTTTGGGCCACACTTGGTGGTGCTCGGGATTTACTCCTGGTGCTGAACTCAGAAATCACTATTGGCAGGGGTCTGGGGACAGGTACAGGGGATCCAACTCAGGTCAGCCATACCTACTGTACTGTTTCTCTGGTTCCTTTATATGTAGTCTTTCTAGAACTTTAAAATTTTGATTCCTTGCACCACATATGGTTCCTCAGGTACCACCAAGTGTGATTACTGAGCACTGCTGGATGAGGCACCAACCCCCCCCAAAACAAAAGCATAACTTGACAATAAAGTAAGATGATAGTAACAGCAATTTTTAGTTTCGTTTGATGCTTCTCAAGGGCTAATCCTGGCTCCATTAGGGGTGGTTGTAGTCACTACTAGTGGTGTGTTACTTGGGGAACCTCTTGGGATCAAATCTGGGCCTCCTGCACTCATGTACTCATCCCGTTAAGCTATCTCTCTAACCCGTTTTAAAGTTTTTTTTCCTAAAACTTTGGAAATATTTTATAACCTTGATTTTTAATTAGGATCCTTGGTTCAATTCCATTGTTCTTTTGCTGATTCTTGGTATTTGTCATTTCAGAACTACTCATGAATTCTTATTTGGTGCTCTTGCCGAACTGGTTGATAATGCCAGGTATGTACTTTTCACACATATAGTTTGGTTGAATGCTTTTTGGATATTTATGAACCTTGCTCTCTAAAGATTATGGAGCTTAGCGGTGGTAACTCCTAAGAGGTTTCTTACCCACAAAGTATTTTTAATATCATATTAGCTGATTCTTCTACTTTAGTCGATCAGTTACAACTCATTCATTACTCTGTTCAAGCCTGAAATTAGTGAACTTATGACCTTCAAAACTGTCTTCCCCTGTGCAGACCAAGATAATTGCAGTGAAACATAGGGGATTAATAAACTCAGGAGTCAAATTAATGGAACAGACAAGCTCTGATTAAATTTGTTTTTCAAACAGTAGTATACCATCTACTATTCTTTAAAATTCTGCTGGGTTTTGTGTTTTCTTTAAATTATATTTCATTGTCAGATGATTCTATTTTGTTGTTTTGCATATTTTGTTGTTAATAGTGGTGAAATAATTTCTTCAGCATTGTCTTATGCAGTTTTTAGTGATGGAAACTTTTAAATGTTTCTGCAAGACAAAACAGAACTTAGGGTTGGTCAGAGAGAAATAACAAAGTTCAAATTAGGTTTCTGTTTTTGTTATTAAAATACTGTCTCAGTCTTATTTCTGTATGCAAATAGAAATCAGGTACATTGATTGGTGTTTTTTTTGTGTGTTTTTTTCCCTTTAATTTTAGTTCATTTTTGGGCCACACCACACTGTAATGCTGGGGATCGAATGCTGGCCTCTTTTTTTAATATTTAATTTAATTAATTTATTTTATTATTATTTTTGGCTTTTTGGGTCACACCTGGTGATGCACAGGGGTTACTCCTGGCTCTGCACTCAGGAATTACCCCTGGTAGTGCTTAGGGGACCATACGGGATGCTGGGAATCGAACCCGGGTCAGCCGCGTGCAAGGCAAATGCCCTACCTGCTGAGCTATTGCTCCAGCCCCATTAACTTATTTTTTATTTATTTTTTTAAATTAATGAATATTGGCCTCTTGTGTGCAAAGCTTGCTCTCAGCCTGTTGAGCTATCTTTTGGGGCCCCCAAATATTTTATATATATATTTCTTCAGTAAGTAAATGTAGAGTTATGTGGATTTAAGTGGATTTTTTAAAATTTAATACTAATGAAACACTCAGCCACATTTTCCTTGCAGAGTTTGGCAGAACTGGAATAGTTATGTCTAGACTTTACTAGAAACCTTCATTAATGACCTAACTTGTATTTCAGGTGATGACTAGAATCTAATGGGGTGCCCCAACTTCCTGGAAAGGCTGTTTTGTTTTGTTTTGGGCCACACCCAGACTTACTCCTGGCTATAATAACTTCTGGCAGTTCTCAGGGGATGTGTGCTACTGGGGATTAAACCAAGTTCGATGGGTGTTTAAGGCAAGTGCCTTACCTGCTGTTCTATCTCCATACCTCGTCCTGTCGAGATTAAGGAAGATGAGATAATGGGATCATAAATCATTCTGTTGAGTGTATGCTTTGAAACCTGATTTTTTTTTCTTTTTGTGAAATAAGATAGGTTTTATTGAAATTTCTTTAGAAAGATGTGAGGAGATTGGGCTTGAGTGATATAGTACAGCAGATGTGTGCAAGGTGTTTGCTTTGTACATGGCTAACCTGGGTTTGATCCCTGGCACCCAATATAGTCCTCTTAGCCCACTAGGAGTTATCTGTGTGTAGAGCTAGGAATAAGCTCAGAATAGCATCAGGTGGGCCCCCCCACTCCCCACCCCCAAAAAAGATGTGAGGGAAGAGAAAGGGAGAAGTGTGTGTTCAAGAGAGAAATAGGCAAACAAAGAAATATAGAGCAAGCAATTGAGATACATATTCGAGGGAGAACACAGGCTTGCAGAACATGCCTGAAACCTGATTTTTATTTATTATTTTGGCCGCTTCCTTAGTATTTGAGAGCTACTCCCTGCTAATTGGTCTCTGCTTATTGCTGATTGCTTCTATTAGTGCTCAGGAGAACATGTGCTGTGGGTTTCTGAATGGTAAGCATATGCTCTAGCTTTTTGAGATATCTCTTCTGTCTGGAATCTGATTATTTTTTTAATTAACGCTTTGTGGCAAAATATATATCTTTATTCTTTAATATCTTGGTGAGAAGAAAATGTTCAAGTTATTGAAATAGCTTTTTTTTTTTTTTGCTTTTTGGGTCACACCCGGCTATGCACAGGGGTTACTTCTGGCTCTGTGCTCAAGAATTACCCCTGGCAGTGCTCAGGGGACCATATGGGATGCTGGGAATCAAACCCGGGTCAGCCGCGTGCAAGGCAAACGCCCTACCCGCTGTGCTGTTGCTCCAGCCCCTGAAATATATTTTTATGATCACAACTACCAAGAGAAACAGATAAAGAATTACGATTATCATTATTTTTGCTCTTTGGGTCACACCTGGCAATGCACAGGGGTTACTCCTGGCTCTGCACTCAGGAATCACTCCTGGCAGTGCTTGGGGGACCATATGAGATGCTGGGAATCGAACCCGGGTTGGCTGCGTGCAAGGCAGATGCCCTACCCACTGTGTTATCGCTCCAGCCCCTAAAGAGTTATTTTCAATCTGTCAAGGGAAATATTCACTACATGTTCTTACAATTAAATTTGCATTAACAAAATCTTTAGGCCTCACTGGTCATGGACCTCCAGAAGTATTTCATAGGCATATAAGGAAAAGTATGACAAGTACAAAAGCATAGCATTAAAAAAATAACAAAAGGCATAGATTTCCATATGATTTTCTGAAAAATAAAAATCAAAATAGTTGTAACTCACTCAAAATATATGCATTTGGGTGATTGACTTTTCATATTTTGTTTGACCCTTGGTTTTTTTTGTTGTTGTTGTTTTAACTTTACAGAGATGCTGATGCCACTAGAATAGACATTTATGCAGGTAAGTTAAACATTAGTTCCTTTCAATGAATTTATTGCTATAGGTTGTAAGAAGTAGCAACTTTCTGGAGCCTGGGGACATGGGAAGATTATTTAAGGTCATGGTTAGAAACAGCAGTCCTGGTCAGATAGATCATGAAAATCAGCAATATTGGTCCAAAGGACCAAACTAGGGGTTTCCAGATCTATAGCTCTACATAATAGCTGCCAGGAAAACTGTGGGAATGATGGACTAATGGAGAGTGACATGACAAACACAAAATTGGCAGAGGGAGGGTAGGGCGGCAATTTGGGCCATCTCTGGCATTGCTCAGGGTTTACTCCTGGTTCTGTGCTCAGGAATAACTCCAGGAGGGCTCAGAGAATTAAATGGGGTGCTGGAGATCAAACTAGGGTGATCAAACTAGGGTGAGCTACATGCAAGGCAAGTAAGTACCTACCTGCTGTAGTATCTCTCCGAGCCCCCAAATATTTTAGTACAGTGAAGGTCACCAGACCAGATTGTGATACTGGAGCCCGATAGAGGGAGAAACCAGTTTTACCTTCTGTGACCTTGGTGAGTACTAATCCCACTGTGAGTGTTGCTGGTGTCAGTTGCATATAGCAGGTTACTGGATTCATGCTAAGGTTTGCAGAAATGTTTTTAGGCAGAGGAGTCAGGCGGGAAGGGGGCAGTGCTGCTTTTCTTGGAATTCCAAGATAAAACAGTGTCTACTGGTTTGTTCACTTAATTGACCGCTGTTTGGCAATAAGAATTTTTCTCTTCTAGAATCTGGGAAATGATTTAAGAGTTCTCAGTTGTTATTACCTTTTTCTTTTTTCTTAGGAAGAGGAGGGGGTTTTCTGGGATGTAATTCAGGGCTTCATAATGTAGAGCATGTGTTCTGCCTCTGAGTTACGTCCCTGGCAGCTTTTTTCTTTTTTTCCATGCTGTCTGCCTATCAACGTTGTACCAGCAGTATTACTGTTTTTGTTTTTGTTTTTGACATTTACTTAAACATGTAGAAACAGATTAGAGTAAGGTAACTTTCAAATACAGTTTAATTAGGATGATTTTTTCCTTTTTTTTCCCTCCTACACCCCCAGAATGATTTAATTTTCAGACTTTTCTGAGGTCTTCTGAAAGGTTTGAGGGAAAATTATAGTGTTGCCTGCTTCTGAGAAGATTTTAGTACTCTTTTTCTAACAGTGCTTCGGGGCTGCCACGGACCACCCCTACCAGCACTCAGCCTGATGGTGCTGGTGCCAAGAAGGGCTGGGTTTCTCCAGAGCCACCTTGGTGGGTCTCAGGGGACCTTGTGGCACTGAGTATTTCATCTGGAGCCTCTGTATATTAGGTTTGTACGACAGTTCCTTTGAGCTCTCTCCCCAGATCTCAAGTAATTATTTAAAAAAATATATTTTTAACCACAACTATAGATTCCAGACGGTAATGGTGCTCAGAGACTATAAGGCCCAGACTCTGGAGCTGCATGGGGGCCATGAGGCATACTGGCAGTGCTCAGGGCCCAGCGTTGGGCAGGGATCTAACCAAGGCCTTGCATATATAAGGCATGTGCTCTATTCTTGAGCAATATCCCCATCCCAACTTTAGGATTTTTTTTTTCCTTTTTTGGGTCACACTTGGCGATGCTTAGGGGTTGCTCCTGGCTTTGTACTCAGGAATTACTCCTGGCGGTGCTCAGGGGACCATATGGGATGCTGGTAATCGAAACTGGTTTGGCCGCGTGCAAGGCAAACACCTTACCCGCTGTGCTATCACTCCAGCCCCAACTTTAGGATTTTTTTTTTCTTTTTGGGTCACACCCGGCAATGCACAGGGGTTACTCCTGGGTCTGCACTCAGGAGTTATGCCTGGTGGTGCTCAGGGGACCATATGGGATGCTGGGAATCGAACCAGGGTCGGCCGCGTGCAAGGCTAATGCCCTACCCACTGTGCTATCTCTCCAGCCCCAGCAACTTTAGGATTTTTATGGGGCCTTAAAGTTATCAAAAACAAAAAACAAAAAACCCACCCTTCTTCCTGGACCCATTTCATTGGTAAATGGAACTTAAAATTAAGAATTATTTCTCAGGACCTTCAATGCCATAGAGTTTGGAAGAATCTTCCCAAATATGATGAATTTTTCATGTCATAAACTTTGGGACAAAGAACATATTCAGAATAGCTACTAATCAATGATACTGCTTAAACTGTGAAAGTTTCTGTCTAAAGAGTAATGCTATTATTATTTTGTTTCTTTATTTTTGGGTGGGCCATACCTGGCAGGTATACCTCAGGGCTTTCTCCTCTCTCTTCGCTCAGGAATCACTCCTGTCAGGGATCTGGGAATCATATGGAGATGGTGATTTAAACCTGGGTCAGTGATATCTAAGGCACGCGTCCTACTCGCTGCCCTATTGCTCCAGCCCCCGATGCTATTATTTTAAAATAAATTAGTGGGCAGAGGGGCATAGCAGAGGAATGTTAGAATATGGCCAGATGGAGGCAGCGTTCCCAAAACCAGTTTCTTATAATTACTCTGAAATAAGGTGACCATTTTAAATTATTGCACAAATGGCAAAGCAAGAGAATCATCCTCTTTTCCAAGTGATGTGGAAGGGACAAATTATAACCAAGTATACTTGGGAAATGCTTTCAAAAAAGAATCTCTGCTCTCTCTTAGCTAGATCTTTGGTTGAATTTCAGCAAGGAAATTTGAAGGCAGCAGACAGTTGTGATTTCAATTTAAGTGGAAAAGATCCAGTGTTGAGTGTTACTCAAGTTATGCTTTGGAAGGAGTCCAAAGAGATCTGATGGAAGCCTTTTCTCTAACTTAGTCTCTGCTTGGAAAGAAAATTAACATTTTTTGGATGATTAGAGAATAGTAATAGTGATCATGAGGGAGTTGTCAAAGCAGTTAGGGATAAAGTCTTGAGCATTGAGCATTTAAAGCATTTTGGAAAAAGAAAGTTTATCTCAAGTATCTTCCTTTGGGAGTCTTGGCTGAGGTGTTCTCATCTGCACACTTTCTGCCTTAATGCCTTACATATTCAATTGGAAGAATAAAAGCAAATTCAAAATAGAATAGAATCAATAATTATTTGTTTTTGGGCCACACCTAGTAGTGCTCTGGGCTTACTCTCAGCTCTGCACAGAGAGATACCCCTGGACAGGCTTGAGGGAGCCTATGGCATAGTGGAGATCAAACTTCGGTGACCACATGCCCACTGTACTAGTTTTGTGGCATCCGCTGTTTTTGGACCACACCTTGTGATTTTGAGTGACCATGTTGTACCAAGGTCTCCTGTATGCATGACATGCTCACTAGCCCTCCGAGCCATCTCCCTATTTCATTTTATTTTTTAATTTTGTTATTTGTCCAAACTAGCAGTGCTTTATTTGTCCACACTAGCAGTGCTTAGACCTCAAGTTTTGGTTTTGCAAGGAATGCGATGCAAGTACCATTCCAACTTTGCTCTTTGACCTCTATTTTATTTTTTAACTTTTATGTATATTTTGTTTGAAGGATGGTGATTTGCAATACTGTAATGATAGTTTCGTGTAAAAGTGTTCCAACTCCACTAGTGTTCTCTTTACCATTGTCTTCACTGGGGAGGAGGGGGAATGTAGGAGTCATGCCTGGCAGTGCTCAGGGATGACTTCTGACTGACTAATCTCCAGGGGAGCTCTGGGGGCCCTTGTAATGCTAGAGATCAAACCTAAGCCTCCTGCATGCTAAGAATGCTCTAAGCCTGGTAAACTCTTTCTTCTGTCTCCCACTCCCTGGCTTTTTATTTATTTTTGATTTTAATTTTGAGCCATACCTCAGAGGTGCTCAGGGCTTACTCCAGACTCTGCTCAGCGATCACTCCTGTTAGTTCTCATGGGACCAGATGGAGTGCTAGGGATAAAATGTGAGTCTTTAGTCGTGAGTTGCAAGGCTGCTATGTGCAAGTCAAATGTCCGACTCACTGTTCTATCTCTCTGACCACATTCCCTGCCTTATTTATTTGTTTGTTTGTTTATTGTGAGAGGGTTGTTTGTGTCACACCCAGCTATTTATTTATTTATGCCTTATTTATTGTGAGGGTGGGTATTTGGGCCACACCCAGCTATTCTTAGGGTTTACTCCTGACTCTGCGCCCCAATCCGGGATCACTCCTCGTGGAGTTGGAACAGAATATGGAAAATGCTGAGGATCCAACCTGGGTTAGCCATGTGCAAGGCAAGTGCCTTACCGGCTGAACTATCTCTGTGGCCTTAGCTCCCTGTCTTTTTAAAAGAATCTCTCAGTCTTTCTCATGAACTAGAAAATGTCGGAGAGCCTTTGGGAATCCCCACCCTCAAGGATCCTCATACTAAGTAGAACTGTTAGAAGGAGAACGTAGGTTTGATCTGACCCCTATTTTTGTTGGCAGGGATTGAACCCATGGTTTGATTCATATGCAGTGTGAACTCTACCAGTCATTCACTAGCCCCTGATCTGACCTTTTTGGACAAAGCTTCACATTGTTCCACCTTCTGATCGTTTCCATGTTGATAACCTCTGATGGGTAACAGCTCGGTAATGGCAGCTACTGTTTTTTACAGAAAAGCGAGTAGACCTTCGTGGAGGATTTATGCTTTGCTTTTTGGATGATGGAGCAGGGATGGATCCAAGTAAGCAATGAGATGATTATGCATCTTTTAAAGAGAATGTAGCCATTTTTATTAAAATATTTAAAGTTTATTTTTTATAAGTTTATTTTTCTGTTCCCTCTTTGTTATGACTTGAAGATCCTCATGGGGAGAGAGATCTGTTGCAATACCTCAGGTTGCTCTGTATTAGTAAATATGTTGGGTCTTAGTCCTAGCATGGGAGACAGAATCTGAATAGCAACCGATCAATCTGCTCACCTGTGTCTTGCCTTTGTAATGCATTAGTTTATACAACATACAGGCCTTACCTAGCCTGTCTCTGACCCCTCACCTTTGGCTTTGAGACGTCTGAGATAAGAATGATAATGTTGTGTTTTCTCTTGCTCCTGCCACTTCAGGTGATGCTGCCAGTGTGATCCAGTTTGGGAAGTCTGCCAAGCGAACACCTGAGTCCACTCAGATTGGGCAGTATGGTAATGGATTAAAATCGTAAGTATTTGTAGAAACCTGTGTCAGAGCACAAAGTAAAAATCAAGTGATACTCTCCTGCTTTTGTTTGATTAGAACTTTCCTCTGCTTTGTTTTTCTAACAATTGTATCTCTTTAGGAGGAGGAAAACCAGAAAGGACTAGTGGTTTTGACAAACAACTGTTGTCCAGCCTATTTTACTTCACAGATAAAGCACGAACATCCAAAACCCCTTTGGGTTGGAGAAGCTATAGTTTCTCTTGGCACTGTGCTCTGGAACTGTACCTTTTATTTTTACCCCATGGTTGGGGATGTGAGTGATTATTTTGTGATTTGAAATTTTTCTGAAATGGTGAGGAAAGTTGTCTCACAGTTCAGCAGTGTTTTTTGAGCACTTTACAGGTACTTATAGAATGAATTACAGAGACTCAAAAGTCTCCTTCCTAGAGAATGTGGTTTCCAGTCCATGGTAGGGACCTACCTAATGTCATCAAATCCCTTGAGACTTCTTTCTCTGCCCTTGGTTTCCACTTGTTTGGTGTTCGGAATGTGTTGTTCTGGTTTTGAGTAAAGCCCCAAGAGAAAGGTTTCTATTTCTGAAATGCTCACTTCCATCTGTGTACATACCTTTGAATGGAATTGGAATTTGTACAAGTAGAATTCTGAGTCACGTTTTCAGCCTTGCTGTGGAAACATTGTTTTGTTTGAGAGTGGTATGGTTTAGTTAGTCATCAACATCAACTGTACCTTGTGTGCGGTGTTTTGGGGTGTGAGAAAGAGAGTCCTTGCAAAGATATCAAGGACCTGGTACTTGGACTTTTTAATTTGTCTCTCAGATAATACAAACATTTGCCATGTGTGTGTTTCCATTGTGCTAGAGTTTACTTAGATGATATTTAATCCTCACTTTATCCCTATAAATTGTACATACCATCATTCTTAGTTTTGGATCTAGAAATTGAGACTTAAAGGGTGAAACGACTTAAATAAAGGTATTAAAAGCTCAAAGGCATTTAAACATGTTTGTGTATACTCAGGAGGCCCCAGGACCCTTCCTGGCAATTCTTAGCCAGCTGTTTTTATGGTTGGTGGGAGCGCTGACATTCAAGTCCTAGTAAAGCAATTTGTAGCAGGACTTGAAGGATAAAATGCCTTCATTGTGGTGAGAGTCCTAAATGCTTTTCTAGCTCACTAATCTTAATTTCTTCTTTCAGGGATCCTTGGCAGTTTCTTGGTCTGATTTAGTTGAGTCAGAGGTAGAATCGAGGAATTTGTTTTTCACAGACGGCCTTCGTGATTCAGACATAGGGGTAACAAGTTCCTAGTATTTGAGGTCTCCTGGAGCAACATTTCTCAGCTGGGCACCCTAAGGCCTCCTGTGAGCCCACATGATGTTCCAAGGGGGCCATGTGTGAAAACTGAGTAAATGGGGAGCCACAACACAAGACCAGGGGCCAACTGGGAGGACAGGTGGTTGGGGGGACATACACCAGAAGGAAACAAGGTTAGACGGAGGCCATGGTCAGAAAAGGTTGGGAATCACTGTACACCATCCAAGAATCATTGTGATGTAAGAAATCTAGACTTCCCACCCAGAGTGCTTTCAGCTGCTTTCTGCCTGTGATCTGGGTTTTTTTTTCCCCCCACACCCCTATGGTGCTCAGGACTTATTCCTGGCTTATCCTCAGAGATCTCCTGGTGGTGCTTGGGGGACCATATCTGGTACCAGATTGGAAGTAAGGTTGGCTGCATGCAAGGCAAGCCCCCTAACCCCTATACTATCTTTCCAGTTCTAAGTTTTTCTTTCTTTTCAGTTTTATGGTCTTATGTAAGCTGTTTTACCTCTCAGAATTTTATTATCTAGAAAATGGGGCTGGAGGGGGTGTGGGTGCTTGGATAAAGGAAGAAGTAGACTAGAAGTAACAAAAAGACAGTGGTGGAGGATTTTGGGTACTTTGGGGATGGTAAAGTATAGTACTTTATACATCAAAACCATAAATGCTGGCAATATTGTAATCATGCTACCTAAAACCGTAAGGGGCTGGAACAATAGTGCAGCAAATAGGGCATTGGCCTTGCATGTGGCTGACCTGAGTTTGATCCATTGCACTATATATGACCCTCAAGCCCTAACCAGGAGTGATCCCTACTGGCAGAGCCAAGCCCTGAGCACTGCCTCGTGTGGTCCAAAAACCAAAGGGGAAGAAAAAACCACTTAACAAACAAAAATGGTTTCTAATCTTATGAAATGACTTCCAGGAGTAAATGAAGGGTAACTTTCAAAGTTCTTTGAGGACTGGGATGGAACTTGATTGCAGAGATTGTGAATGTAAATGATTTTTGAAAAGGACCTGTAATGATGGAGCCATCTAGTGTTCAGAGGGTATTAATTTAAAACAATTTAGAAATTGAAAAAAGTTCCTGGAAAAGTTCCTAAAAAAAAAAAAGAGAGAGAAGGGAAGCTAGCATCGAGGTAGTGCATTTCAGTTCCTATTCTGCCCCCATAGCAGGATCAAAGACAGGACGAGAGGGGCACAAAATGAATGTTTTGCTAAGTTAGGGCAAGAGCAGTCTTTGACAGATGGCATGAAAATGTGCCTGTTTGCTGCTCCTGAATGTCAGAGACAGAGGAGGAACATGAACATTGTCAGGGGAAGGAGCATTATAAGCACCCTAGGATCTGGAGAAGGAGAAAAAGGAACAGAAACTCTTGACAACCCTCGGAGTGTCCTGAGACTTTTCCTGAGCATTTGGGAAATGGATTATGGCATTCATTTATGTGCTTGACATGCCAGTCTGGTTTATATTTGTACATAGAAAAAGAATTCATAGACTTCTCACTGCCATCACCTCCCTTGGGTATTATGAAGACTAATGGGATAATAACCATAAAGACCCAGAAGTTGCTCAGAAGAAGGCACTATACAGTTCCATTCATTCTTCCCCAGTGATGCTTCATACTGCCATTCTTGCCTGCCCCTCAATGATGTAACATGGCCACAGGAAGGAGGCAGTTGATTCCATTCAGAATTTTGCTCTGTGGGACGTAGCCTTCAGGCACATTTCCCAGAAACCATTTGCATTCTTTAAAGCAGAACCTGTCTAAATGGGTGTGAAGTGGCTGAAGAAAGCTGGTTCAAAAAGGATGAGTCTTTTTGAAAATAGTGGTCGAGATTTATATTTTGTTTTGTTATCCCCTGTGTTTGAGCTTTGCCACCATTCTTGTTTTTGAAGACTAGTAAACATAGGCCCTGGGCTATTCGATAGGTCTGCCTTTTGATGAATGGGCCAGAGGAAGATTTTGAGTCAGAAAAAAAAGGACAGGATGGTAACTAGGTGTGATCAGCATAGAAAAGGATGTTTTGAAAGCTTAGTTATTGGAGTGAGATCCGATTATACAGTCAAGGCTACAACAACCCTCACGTGGCTGGGATAAACCCAGAGCATAGGTCTTCAGGGTTATTTGTTATTGTGGTCAGGGGCTGGGAGTGAGACTGACCTTGAATGGTGCTTGTGCTTATGCCTTAGAAGTTAGTACACGTGTCTGTGATCCTGCATGGTTTTTAGGTGTGATTATAAGGCTATAAAATTTGGGGACTGCAGAGATAGTACAGTGAATAGGGCAGTTACCTTGCACTTGGACAAACTGGGTTCCATCCCCAGCATGCCATACGGCCTTTCAAACACTGCCAGGAGTGATCCCTCAGCACAGAGCCAGGAGTAACCCTGAGTACCACTGGGTGTGGCCCCAAATCTCTCTCTCTCTCTCTCTCTCTCTCTCTCACACACACACACACACACACACACACACACACACACACACACACAAATGGTTATAAGATTAAAGTCAGTGAAAGAGAAGAAGGAAAAGAGTCAGATGGGAGAAATTTGGAAATGGTAAAACCTTTTGAGAGCCCCTTAAAGGCGGTTTCAGTCACATCCAGGTATGAATTTCTTCATTTTTCAGATGAGATTTTGGCTCCCTAGTTGAATAACCTGTCTCTGCTTCCTTTTCAGGGGCTCAATGCGTATTGGTAAGGATTTCATCCTCTTCACCAAGAAGGAAGATACCATGACCTGCCTCTTCCTGTCGCGTACTTTTCATGAAGAAGAAGGCATTGATGAAGTAAGCCCTGTCCTTAAGATTGATTTTATTTTCAAGACCATTTGACCACTTTTTCTGTTTCTGAACAATCAGTTGAGACTGATAATTTTAATGAGAGGATGTGAAGTCTCAAAATACTTTAGAGAACATTTGTCCTGTTTTTGAGAATGTAGTCATTAAAGGACAGGAACTAAGAGTTATTTTTGGAGCTTCCTTAGATCTGTAACTTGATTTCATTCCAGGACTAGGGAGAATACAGCTGCCAACAATCATAATAATATCATCACCTTTTCTGTATTTTGTGGAATATACTATGGCTGCATTTTCTTCCTTTAAAAATATGTTGTATCAGAAACCCAGGCAGGTAGTGAAGCAGGTGAATTTTGAAAAGCTACTAGCTAAGTGATAGCTGACAGTCCACTGCTTATTGCTATGCCAGAAGGAAGGCCTAATAAATCCAGAATATCCTGCTTTCTTTTTGGTTTTGGGCCACATCCAGCTGTACTCAGGGCTTATTCCTGACTCTGTGCTCAGGGATCACTCTTTTTTTTTTTTTTTAGGCATACAATATTTTATTTTTTAATTTTTTAATTTTTTTAATTTTTATTAGTGAAACACTTATAAAAGTTGTAGACTTACAAATTTTTGTGCTTGGGTTTGTAGACTTACAAGTTGTAGACTTACAAATTTTGTAAGTTGTAGACTTACAAATATTGTGCTTGGGTTTCAATTATACAATGATCAAATACCCATCCCTCCACCAGTGCCCATTTCCCACCACCACGGGTCCCAGTATCCCTCCCACCTCCCACTTCCCCCATCCCACCCTGCCTCTGTGGCGGGGCATTCCATTTTGTTCTCTCTCTCCTTTTGGGTGTTGTGGTTTGCAAAAGAGGCATTGAGTGGCAATCATGTTTGGTCTATATTCTACTTTCAGCATGTTTCTCCCATCCTGGGAGGATCCTCCCAACACCCTTTATTTGGTGCTCAGGGATCACTCTTGACCGTGCTCTGGGGACCATATATGGTGCTGGAGATCGAATTAGGTTGGCAGCATGCAAGGCAAGCATCCTACCTGCTGTTGTACTATATCCTGGGCCCAGATCAAGAATATTCTGATTTTGGAACATTGTGGCAATTATCAGTGTTAAATACATCTCATTTTGTTTTCTTGTTTTTGAGCCACACCTGGTGATGTTCAGGGCTTATTCCTGGCTCTGCACTCAGGATTTTTTAATTTTGGGTTTTGGGCCACACCCAGTGATGCTCAAGAGTTACTTTTGGCTCTACACTAAGGAATTACTCCTAGCAGTGCTCAGTGGACTCTGGGCCCAGGTTGTTCATGTGTAAGGCAAATGCCCTTGCTGCTGTAATATACCCTGAGGCATGCAAGGTTTGGGAGAGGAGAAAATTGCAAGGAATATAGAAGAGTGACTAGAAATGCAGGAAGAAAACTAAGAGAATTGTGACATTGAAGCTAAAGAAATATTTCTTTGGGGCGGAAGAGATAGTTCAGTGGGTAGGGTATTCGTATTCCTTCATGTGGCCATCTTGGGGTTGATCTCTGGCATCCCATATGGTCCCCTGAGCACCACCTGTAAGCCCTTAGCATTGCCAGCTGTGTCCCCAAAACAAACACAAAAAAAGAAGTGTTCTTTTTTGGAAGAACGTGGCAAGGAGTGATACTATTGAAAGTGGATGGGGACTGAAGAGATAGTGCAGGGGTTAAGATCGCTTTGCTTTTGTACTTGGTCGATCTCAGTTTGATCCTCGACACTGCCTGTGGTTCCCCAAGTACCACCAGGAATGTTGAGCACAGAGTCAAGATTAAGTCCTGAGCATAACCGGGTTTGGCCCAAGTCCCTTCCTTCTGTTTTTGTCCAGAGAGATTATACAGGGTTTAAGGTGTTTGCCTTGCACAGGGCAACCCAGTTCCATCCCTGGCACCACATATGGTCCCCTGCACCACCAGGAGTCATGTCTAGTTGAGCCAGGAGTTGCCCCGATATCATCCAGCCTCCCCCACTTCACATCCTTGAATAAGGAAAGTAGACCACTGTCACTAGGAACTGCTCTGAAGAATTAAAGGTGCAAAGTAAAGTAAAAGAGGCCATAGAACACAAATGGAAGTAATTTCTTCTGGTGAAAAAGTCAGGTTGAAATTTTTTCCTTACTTGGTGCTTAGAAGGTCACTGTTTTGGATTGTACTATAGTGTACACTCAGCCAAGATTTCAAAATAAGATCATTTTCAGCTGGGAAGGAATGTGTACAGACCAGCCCTAGGGTTGAATGCTGTAGGCATGAAGCTTCTTAGAAACCAATAACATGTTTCGGAACTCTTCAGAACAGTTTATAAATCTGGCAGTTGTTAGAGTTCCTTTTTCCTCAGGGTGTGCAGTTTGATTAGAATCTCGGTAGTTTCTCCACTGGTTTGCTCCACAGAATATAGCAGTTACCCTCTAATATCAGAGCCCACTGGCTCAGGGCAGCAGGAGGAATTAGTTAAGGCCTCTGGGAATTGACATTTGATATAGGATTCTTGAAGAAAGAGAAATTTTCCCCCCAGCTTTGTTAAGGTATAATTGGCAATAGTAAAAATTTTTTAAATGTTATTTAGATGTAAAGTAAAATTTCCTGTAAGAAAAAGAGTATTTTTAATAATGGGAGATTATTAAGGTAGTTGAGAGAACAATTGTATAGTGAGCATACTTATAGCCAATTTCAGATAAATGTTAGAAGATCCTTTGGGAATCACCAAAGGAATCACCTTTGGGTAGCTTTTGTGGTTAAAAAAGGTTCTTTTTTGTGGTTTGTCACCTATGTAAACATTCTTGAATAATAGTTTCATTTTGCCTAATTAAGAATTTTTTTCCCTAATTTTTATTGGGTTACCAGGACACTAATGAATTTTATATAGATGAACTCCTACCATAGGATTTCTTTCCCTTTTTTTGGTGTATTGGGGGGTATTTTGTTGCTTTCATGTTGGTGAGATTCATCCGTATTAATGTTAGTGACTCCATTTTCATTAATATTTTGTTGTATACTGTGCAGGGTATCTACTTCGTAGATGCTTATTTTTCTTACATGTTTGTTTTGTCCTAGGATATATTACCTGTAAACCTTTGTATCTTCATATAGTAATACATTTCCAGTGTAGTTGCAAATCATATATATATTTATATATATATATATATATTTTTTTTTGCTCTTTGGTTACATCCAGCTATGCTCAGGGGTTGCTCCTGGCTCTACACTCAGGAATTACTCCTGTTAGTGCTTGGGGTACCATATGGAATGCTGGGGATTGAACCCGGGTCGGCCACTTGCAAGGCAAATGCCCTACCCACTATAGTATTGCTCCAGCCCCTGAAAGTAATTTTTTAGTGGAAAAAGTAGAATAACTGAATCAGAAAATTGACAGAGGCATTTCTAGAAGGGAACTGCTATGCATAGGGCATAAACCAGCATAGCCAAGAGTTTGAGTCTTGGGAAAGGCACTTGAAGCCACAGAACTTCTGGTCCCAGACCGAGGAGCATTACCTCTAGGGCCTTTGCAGCTTCTGTGGGGGGAAGGGCATGCTTTATGCATATTATGGGGTGAATATACTTCTAGGGCCTCCTTCAAAGTGTCTGCCTGTGCTTACTCCTTAGGTGATAGTCCCATTGCCTACCTGGAATGCTCGGACCCGGGATCCTATCACAGACAATATGGAGAAGTTTGCCATTGAGACAGAACTCATTTATAAGTATTCTCCTTTCCACAACGAGGAGGAAGTTATGAACCAATTCATGAAGATTCCTGGGGACAGTGGTAAGTGGGCTTTGAGCTTGCAGTCCCTGAAATACAGGCGTTCCTGAGCCAGGATCCTGGTGGGGCTGAGCTGGAGGCGCCTGTCAAAAAAGGATTTCTGTTCCTTAGGCACACTGGTGATCATCTTCAATCTCAAACTCATGGATAATGGAGAGCCCGAGCTGGACATAACCTCAAATCCAAAAGACATCCAGATGGCAGAAACTTCCCCAGAGGGCGCGTGAGTGTGACTTGCGAGGGAGGAAACCCCTGAACCTGGTGTTCATTTGCCCAGGGAGGAACAGTGCATTATGAAATTTTAGGGAAGAGCTTTCCACCAATTTCCTAGTATTAGAGACGAGAACACCAGGTATCTGTCTTCCTGCCACAAGGCAAAAGAGATAAATAGGACATATCATTCTTACGTGTAAGCTGAAAGAAACAATTAATGATCCCTTGCTTCAGTTCCTTATTTTGACAGGAAAAAACTGAGGAGACCTGCTTTGTTCTGTGGTGGGGGCAATGGCAGAACCTGCTGATTTGTTTTGGAGGCACCAACTTCTGAGGGGGCTGTGAGAGTGGGCAGGTTGTGATACCCACAATGAGGGAGCATCCTCCTTTAGAAGGCAGGAGTAGCCCAGATGTAGACCGGTTATTCAAAGGCGTCTATGGTCAGATTTGTGAGATGGGTGATGGCACCCCTGCGTTTGTCACCTCCAGGAAGCCGGAGCGGTGCTCATTCCGTGCCTATGCTGCTGTGCTGTATATTGATCCACGAATGAGGATCTTTATCCATGGGCACAAAGTTCAAACCAAGAGACTCTCCTGCTGTCTTTACAAGCCCAGGTAGGGATCTTCTCACCCTAGTCACATTTCTCTGGGGTGTTATATGAATGGTGGCTTCTGAGAGGCGCGCTCATTGACTAAATTTGGGAGCATTTAAACTGCTTTGATTTACTAATGAGTCACTTCTGGGTCCTGAAAGAGGGGGCCAGTGGGTCATGGAGGTTGGCTGGCATAGCTTATTGAGTGTGATGGCCTTTTCTGAAGTGGAGGGCACCTTTCTTTCTTTCTTTCTTTCTTTCTTTCTTTCTTTCTTTCCTTTTTTGCTTTTTGGGTCACATCCAGTGATGCACACTTCTGGCTCTGCACTCAGGAATCACCTCCTGGTGGTGCTTAGGGGACCATATGGGATACTGGGAATCGAACCCAGGTTGGCCGTATGCAAGGCAAACGCTCTACCCACTGTACTACCGCTCTAGCCCTGGAGGGCGCCCTTCTTGATACAGTGAACTGTTTGAGCCTTTCAGTTCTCCAGTTGTTGAAAGGCCCTTAGACCCTCTCCTGGGAGGCAAAGGTCCTGGTCAGTGACTGAGGTTGGTTTCTGCTATGGGATGGACCTAAGATGCACCTGATACATACTAAGGTTGCTTAGTGAAAAGAATAGCAGGAGATCAGTGGTATAAGGAATTAAGATTTTGGTTCCCTTTTTTTTTGGCAAAGAATGGAAAGTTTTGGGGTCTTCCACAGCATTGTTCAGGGCTGCTCCCCTGCTCTGTGCTCTGGAGTTATATTTGGCAGTGCTTGGAACACCATGTGGTGCCAGGGACTGAACTTGGGGCTCCTGCACAACTATTAATTAGCCTTTTGAACTAACTTCAGGAATTAAGGGGTTTTTTTAGCCAAGGTTTTTGTCTCAATGTGGGAATAAACTGGAGATAGGACAGGACAGTATAGCTTGGGAGGGGGCAGGAAGGCAGGGTACTTCCTGAGGTGCCTGGTTGCAGCCCTGTGTTACTACTGCTCCGGCCCTTGGGTTAATTTTTTTCCCCATCCAGGATGTACAAGTATACGTCAAGCCGTTTCAAGACCCGTGCAGAGCAGGAGGTGAAGAAAGCTGAGCATGTAGCACGAATTGGTAATGCCCTACCTCTGCAGCAGGGGGGACTGGTGAGGAGGTGGTTTTCTAAGGGAGGGACACTACTTGTGGCCAAAGAAGAATCCAAGGAAAGGCTTTATCCAGGGACAGGTCTGTCCTCCCGAACCACAGATTTAGTTCTTACATCCCTTCCCCTGGTACCAATTCTCCTCAGCTCTTTTCTCCAAACTGCATAGGATATTATCAACCCTTGACATGCTCAAAATGAACTCTAGTCCAGATACTTGTGAAATTGCTTTTCCTGACTCCAGGGCAAAATTCCTAAGGCATCTCAGCAGCTTGATTGAGAGGAATTGGCTGAATACTTGATAGATTCCAGCTCGTGCTGGGGTTTGACCCGATTGTTTAGACCTGTTTTGATTCCTGTGTAAAATTTGAAAAAAATGTTATCATGCTTGTTTTTCTGGGGGAAACTTACTTAAGCTCAAGCAGGTGGGTTCATCTTCCAAGTCTCTTATTCCTTAGCACAGGTTACATCCATTTTGTCCAGCCAGAACTCTTTTGTGTGATCTAGGAGGGATTACTAATAGTTATGAGCCCCTCAATTCCTTATCATGGGTTTTTCTGCGTTTCAGCGGAAGAGAAGGCACGGGAGGCAGAGAGCAAAGCTCGAACTTTAGAACTACGCCTCGGTGGAGACCTCACACGAGACTCAAGGGTAAGACTCCAAATCCATGTGGCTGTTCTATTATTTCTTGCATAATGATCTCAGGGTTGGCCTGACTCAGCCCCCGACAAGCTGAAATATAGAATGCCGTATAACTATAGAACACACACAGTGTTCCAAAATCTCAGCAAATCATTTTATTACATCAGCAACTATATTAGATGTTCACTGTTAGTATCCTTGATTTAAAATAAATTCAAGTATAACTCCTGTCAGACAGACACATAACTTCATAGTATGCTGGGGTGAGGGGTAGGCGGGGGACTTCATGAATGCATTGCGAGCGTTCTCCTGCTGAGCTACCTCTCCAGCCTCCAAGCCACCAAATACAAGGGTTAAAGGTGCTTGCTATGTATGGAGTCAGCCCTGCACCTCATATGGTCCTCTGAATGCCACCAAGGGTCACTTCTGAGCCCAGAGGCAGGAATAGCTCCTTAGCACCATAGGTTAAAGCTCCAGGTCCTTCCTCACATACCAGATAACAGCAAAGTGAAAACACCCTCATCCTCTTAGCACTCTGCTGTTTCTATATGACTGTTCTTCTTGATGTCACTGAGCCCTGATCAGGTGAAATCTAGCTTTTGAGTTTGTCCCCGGGAAGGACCATTTTTTGTGGAAAAACCTTATAGTTTTGTCCCATTTGGTTTAAAATACATTTTAGATGTACTGTATTCATGCCTTCTGTGGCCCACAGTCCTTTCCTTACTTTTCCAGGTGATGTTACGACAGGTTCAGAACACAGCCATTACCCTGCGCAGAGAAGCTGATGTCAAGAAGCGAATCAAAGAGGCCAAACAGCGGTGAGTACCAGGCTAATCTGTAATGTTTGTATTGAAAGTCGATAGTTAACTTGAGGAATTTCTCCCCACTCTATGAGGTTGCCATCCTTTCTCAATGACTGTTTTTGGAAAGCCTTTAATCTGCAATTCCAAATGCTTTGTCAGGTAACCAGGCATTTGGTCACAGAGAGGACTTATCTTGTGTTCTCAGTTCTTGCTGATGTCAGGGCAGGACCAGCACCTTGAGATGAACACTGCATTTCCTCACTGAAACAGTCTCACCTTTTCGTTCCTACCTCTATTTCCTCTCCAATATGGGCAGTACCAGAAGAGCTTAGGCTAGATCTGACTGGTGTTGCTCAGAGGCACCAGGGCCAATATCCAGCTATGTTGTGCTCTAGGGCCATCAGGGCCCAAAACTGACAGAGCTGGGAACCTAGGGTCTGCTTGTGGCTCATCAGATGTTTGGGGTACCATACAGTGCCAGGGATCAAACTCAGGGCCTTCCGCATACTTGGAAGTGCTCTACCACTTTAGCTATCTCCTAGCTCTTTTTTTTTTTTCTTGGTCATACTCGGCGATTCTCAGGTTTACTTTTTCTTCTGCAGTCAGGAATTACTTCTGGTGGGTTCAAGAGATCATATAGTTTGCTGGGAATTGAGCCTGGGTGGACTGTGTACAAGTCAAGTACCTTACCCACTATACTATTGCTCTTCTACTCCTCCCTTTCTTTTTTTAGAACAATTTTGTTTGTTTGGTTTTGGTTTAGGGGGATATACCCAGAGGTGATTAGGCCTTACTCCTGGCTCTGCACTCAGGGATCACTCCTGGCAGCTCGGGGGACCATATGAGGTGTCAGGGATCGAGACCCAACTCTGCCACATGCAGGGCAAATACCCTATCCACTATATTACTGCTCTGTCCCCTAAATTTTTTCAATGTCTTTATTTTATTTTTTTTCCCTTCGCAAATTTTTTTTTTTTTTGGTTGGGATGAAGAGAAGTCTCATACACATTTGGTTGTGATACTCAAAAGATTTTGGTTGTGATGTTTACTGGTTGTTCCTGTTTGCACTTTTTTTTAAAAAAAGGTTTTATTTTATTTTTATAATATTGCTCACAGTAGTTCATTAGAAATAATATTCAAACACCAGTCCTACCACCATGCACCTTCCCACCACCGTAAGAGGAAAGTGTGTGAAGATTTTTGTATTTCATCCTGGAGCCATTTAAGCCCTTGTATAAGAGATTACAAGCATGTATGTTAAACCCAAACACAAGTGTGCTACTTTTGGTACATCAGTGGACTAGAGGAATGTGGCCTCGCACTCCAGGATGTTCTGTGCCGCTCTCTCCTGGGAACTTTATTTTAGTCTCTAGATCTTGGAGTTGATGAGATTTTATGGCACCAGAGGCAGTTTGTGGGTGGAAAACTGGGGAGGTGGAGGGAGGAGGCCTAGTCCCGTTCTGGGCCAGTGCGTGAGCTTGGAGATCTCAGTCACGGGTTTTTCTGCAGTTTCCCTCATGGGTGAGGCTCACCTGAGCCTGTAGAGAGTGGCCTTGAGCATGGGTGTGTGGCTGGGATCTGGAGGTTTTCAGCTGCCGGGATTCTTCTGGGGTAGGGAGGGAAGCTTAATGCACCCACTCCTAGTTGCTTCAGTGCGGGGTCAAGAAGTCGTTCAGTGTCTCTTTCTTCCATTAGCTTTATTTCAGTCTTTGAATCTCAGCTGTTGATGAGATTATATGGTGCTGGAGGCAGTTTGAGGGTGTGACTGCCAAGCTACTGGAAAGCTGGCAGGGGAGGCCCAGTCCTCTTCTGAGCAAGTGCTCACACATTTTTATTTGCTGTGCTTGTTGTCACATACTTTAGCTGTAGGTGTTCAGATGACATTTTTTTATTTCACTGTGTAGATACCTTAAAGAGGGCTGGAGCGACCGTACAGTGGGTAGAATGCTCGCCTTGCACTCAGCCAGCCTAGGTTCAGTCCCCAGCATCGCATATGATCCCTTGAGCCTGCCAGGAGTGAGTTCAGAGCCAAGAGGAACCCTGAGCATGGCTTGTTGTTTCCTCCTCGTTCCCCACCCCCATCTCAAAAAAAATAAAAAGGGAGCTTCATAGCAACCTTGCTTTGTGCCTCACACTTTATTCATTTTGTTACCGAAAGCCGAAGTTGCATGTTTTTATTTGGATATTTAGAGTCGCTGCATAGTTTGTTTACTTTTCCAAGTCGTAACAGATTGTTCATTGAGTGGAAATGCAAAACTTTTTGGTTAGCATGTCTTAAGTTAAAGCTTAAACTTAAGATATCTTAGAAGACCATGGTATATGTGTGCTAGTGGAACTTGTCTTCTGTCTTCTCAGAGCACTTAAAGAACCTAAGGAACTGAATTTTGTTTTTGGGGTCAATATTGAACACCGTGACCTGGATGGTATGTTTATCTATAACTGTAGCCGTCTGATCAAGATGTATGAGAAAGTGGGCCCACAACTGGAAGGCGGCATGTGAGTATTGCCTACGAAGACTTTCCAGCCAGAGATGGATGGCAACTTTTTGGCCAGCCAGAGGGGCAATAAAACTGTTTGTTCTCTTTTGCTGTAGGGCTTGTGGTGGTGTTGTTGGAGTTGTTGATGTCCCCTATCTAGTCCTTGAACCTACACACAATAAGCAGGACTTTGCTGATGCTAAGGAGTACCGGCACCTGCTGCGGGCTATGGGAGAACACTTGGTGCAGTACTGGAAGGACATTGCCATTGGTAATGGGACTTTGGGACTGCTCCTGCCCTTTCTCTTTGCCTTGACCCTTATAGTGCCTGAGAAGAGAGTAAGTTTAGGAAGACTAAGAGACTGGCTTCTAACATGATTGCGTGGTTGCTTGCCTTCCAGCCCAGCGGGGAATCATTAAGTTCTGGGATGAATTTGGTTACCTCTCAGCCAACTGGAACCAGCCCCCATCCAGCGACCTGCGTTATAAACGCCGGAGATCTATGGAAATCCCAATCACGATCCAGTGTGGTGAGTCACTGATATGACCTGCTGACATTTTCCGCATTTTGGTTCATAATGGTCTTCTATAAATCCTTGTAATTACCTCTTTTTGTGGGACCACCATCAGGCTGTGTTTCAGGGGCCATTCCTGGCTCTGTGCTTGGGATTAACCCCAAGCAGTGTGCAGGAGATCATGCGGTACCAGGGATTGAATCTGGGCCTCCTTCATGTATAACATGCATTCAGCCCACTGCACTGTCTCTCTGACTCTGTTAGCGCCTCTTGACTGACATACATGGACTTAAGGTCTGGTTTTCACTAAGCATATGAGTCTTGTTACATCCTTATGAGCTGTTTCAGGGCCCAGTGCCATCTGTACCTCATGAGTAAGGCTGAATGTCATATTACCTGCTAAGCTTTACTCATTTTTTTATACTGTGAATAATTGCTGAGCTAGGCTTCTGCTATAGTAAGAAGAAATTGGGGAATTGGGGAGGGGAAGGGGTTTGAGAGCCCATCATCCCTTTTGTTTTGGGGCCACTCTTGGCTGTCCTCAGGGCTCAGGCTTACTATTTGCTCTGTGCTCAGGGGTCACTCCTGGTGGGTTCAGAGGAGCATATGTAGTGCCAGGAACCATACAAAACTCTGGGTTGGCGGCAAGGCAAGCACCCTGCCCACTGTACTATTGCTCCAGCCCGATACTGTTCCATTCTTGCTGGAGAAGAATCGCTGCTACATAAGGAAGCCAGAAACTTGAAGGAGCCTGATTGTAGTTACTATTGGTGAACATAGATGATGTTTACATCAGGTGGGTGTTTTCCTCATTGCAGATTTGTGTCTGAAGTGGCGAACCCTCCCCTTTCAGCTGAATAGTGTGGAAAAAGAATATCCTGACACCTGGGTTTGCTCCATGAACCCTAATCCTGAGCAGGACCGGTGAGCACTTCTCTCACAGGGACATTGTGGGTGTTCCCCCAACCTGTGTTCGCTCTGCTTTGGGGTAAATCCTCATTTCATTCCTGTGGTGTCAGTGCTTGCACCCTTATTATTTCTGTCTTGCATATAATAAGTGCTCTGGACATAATTATAGATTGGTCCCTTTAGTGAATATTTATTTCATTCACTTGGGAACTCTGTGAGGTGGTTGCCTTAGTGAGAGGAGAGTGTGGGTTTGCTAAGGAGGACTGATCCTGCTCTCCCTGGACCCCTGGTTTGCCATAGCTTCCCTAGCACCTTCTTTCTACAGATGTGAGGCTTCTGAACAGAAGCAGAAGGTTCCCCTGGGAACATTCAGAAAGGACCTGAAGACACAGGAAGAGAAACAGAAGCAGCTGACAGAGAAAATTCGCCAGCAGCAAGAGAAGCTGGAGGCTCTTCAGGTGGTCATTGATAGCGGATAGAGCCAGCCTGTGTCAGTGAATTACCAGGACAGTACAGGACCATCAGTGACTCCCCTGCACTCTGCATGCTGCCAAAGCCTTCCGATTCCAGTCTCCACACATTTTTATATACCTTTTTAAAAAGTTTTGTTTACGGGGCCAGAGAGATAGTACAGTGGAAACGACGCTTACCTTGTACGCAGCTGACCTGGGTTTGATCCCCAGCACCCCATATGGTCCCGACTCTCAGGAGCGATCCTGAGCACAAAGCCAGGACTAAGCCCAGAGCAGAGTCAGTGTGGCCCCAAAACAAAAAGTTTTGTTCGTAACAGGAATGTTCTAATTGATGTGCTAACTTTTAGGTACATATCCATCCAGCGTTTTATAATTACTAAATGCAACTCTGTGGGCCATAGAGGTAGTTCATTTGTCTGGAGTGCATGCTTTGCATGTCGGATCCTGGTTTGAGCCCTTGCACTGCACGGTTCCCTGAGGACAGAGCTGAAATAGTCCTTGAGCAGTGCCAGGTGTGGCGCCAATAAAAGCAGATCTCCCAAGAACTTTTTTTTAAAAATAGAAACATGAAAATTATGGTATGTTTGTATATCTAGACTATTAGCCCTTTGCCATATGTGGCTGTCACTGTCCTCCCGTTCATCGATTTTTCTCGAGCGGGCCCAGTAACATCTCCATTGTGACACTTGTTCCTGTGTTTGGCATATCGAATATGTCACGGGTAGCTTGCCAGGCTTTGCTGTGTGGGCGAGATACTCTCGTTAGCTTGCCAGGCTCTCCGAGAGAGGCGGAGGAATTGAACCCAGGTGGGCCGGGTCGGTCACATGCAAAGCAAATGCCTTACCCGCTGTGCTATTGCCCCAGCCCTACGTATGGTATGAGAATATTTTCTCCCATTCATTTCTGGGTTCTGTCTTATTCCATTTGTCTGCGTCTTTATTGCAGTGTCATCCTGTGTGACTGTCACTTTGTGGTGGTTTAAGACCAAGGGGATGTAGTGTCTCCCATCTTTTTTCTCAGAACTGCTTTGACCATGATTTCATACACATTTTAGTAGTATTTATTACGTGTCCTGAATGCCATTGGTATTCAGTGTGTTGAAACTGTATAATAAATTCTTTGGGTAGGATGATTATTTTAAGAATTTAATTTTTTTAATCCATGAACATAGATTATTTTCCTCATTCCTTGTTTCCGCATCTATATTTCTTCATTCCTTGTGTCCGCATCTATTTCTTTGTTATGGTGACTCACAGTTTTTCATGTATAGGTCTTCCATGTCCTTTGTTAAGTTGATTCCTATTACTTGGTGTTTTGGGGCACAGCTGTAAATTAAATCATGGTTTTTTGTTTTTGGTTATTGCTGCTACTGGTTATTTTTTTTTCCTTTTCCCCCTGCGTTGGGGTGGTTACTCCTAGCTCTGCACTCAGGAATCACTCCTGGCAGTGCTTGGGGGACCATGTGGTATGCTGGGAATTGATCCTGGGTAGGTTGCATGCAAGGCAAATGCTGTACCTGTGGTACAGTATCTTTGGTCCAGATCATGTTTTTCTTTTCTCTTTTAACTTGTTTGCATTTAGGAATGAAACTGATTATTGTGTATTGCTTTTATAGTCTGCTAGTTTAGTCTGTTGACTTAGTGTTTCTTCTTGGCTGAGTCTTTAGGGGTTTCCGTATACATTATCATGTCTGTCATCTGCAAATAGTGACAGTTTGACTTATTTTCCAACTTGGATGTCTTCTCATTTCTTTTTGTTGTCGAGTTGCTCTGTGTAGGGCTTTTTAATGTACTTTTAGTGCTTAATTATTTCTTTGGGATAATTTTTCAGAAGTGAACAGAATAGAATAAAAGGGTTTGTGGGATGAGAGAAATAGTATAGGGGTTAAAGTACTTCCCTTGCATGAGGTTTACCTGATTTATTCCCCAGCACTGAACATTAGTTTTCCAAGCAGTAGTAGGAGTGATGGCTGAGCACAGAACTGGAGTAAACTTTAAGCACAACTGAATATGGACCCCCTCCCCAATTTAAAGGGACGTTGTCAAATTTTGTAGGTTTTTTTTTTATAACAACTTCCAATTGCCTAGATGATTTTTTTATTTGCTTTTGGATTATACCCAGTGGTGCCCAGGGCCTAGTCCTGATTCTGTGCTCAGGGATCATTCTTAGTAGACTCAGGGGACAATATAGATTTCCAGGGATCAAACCTGGGACAGCTGCATGCAAGGCATGTGTCCTACCCAATGTACTATCTCTACAGCCCCCTACCCCCAGAAGTTGTATTATTTTATATTTTACTTTTTCAGCAGAAATTTATTTTCAGATATTACAAATTTGATGAAAATATAAGCATTCATGATTTGAATTTTCTGCTTCTAAACTTGGACAATATTTTTCATGTCTCTTCTCTTTTTTTTGGAGTGCCATACCTGGCTATGTTCAGGGCTTACACCTGGATTCATGCGCAGGGGTCACTCCTGCTTGCAGGGTGAACCATATAAAGGGATTAAACTGGGCTGGCCATGTGCAAGGCAACTGCCTTACCTGCGATAGTATCTCTCCAACCTCTCATTCATTTGTTCCTTTTAAAATTTCTTGTTCTTACATTTCTGTTGATTCTTTTCTTGGTTTTGTTGTTGTTGTTGTCTTCCTATTGGTTTGGGGGAGCCATATGTGGTGCCAGGTATTGAACCTGGCATAGCCACATGCAGGGCAAGCACTTTATCCACTATGATGTCTCTCTGGCCCTGGTTATTTTCTTAAATGGCTTGCCAGTTTTAAAAATATGTTTGTAGTATCAAGCAGCCATATTTATTACAAAAGCTTTCCCCCTGGACTTTTCTATTTGGTCAGAAACTCTTACTAACCCAGAATGTCTTATTTCTCCATATGCTGAATCCCAGTAGTCCTGTCTTCCCTTATCAGTTAGGCTTCTGGCCTTTTATTGGGTCCCTTTCAAGGTATTTAGTCTATTGTCACATTTTCCTGGCCTCTCAATTGCTGTCATGATCCCTTAGAATCTGTAATTTTTTGGTGTTTCTGTGTCTCATTTTTGTCTCCCCAGTCAAGACTTTATTTGCTTGCTATTTATAACATAGGGGGAATTCCAAAGTTTGCTTGACTATCTCATCATCATTTTTGCCCTGCAGAAGACCACACCCATCCGCTCCCAAGCTGACCTGAAGAAATTGCCTTTGGAAGTGACTACTAGACCTTCCAGTGAGGTAATTCCTGAGGCAGAAGGGATTTTTTTTCAGACAGCTTTTTTTGGGATTAATGTCCTTTCTCTCTGGGCATCTATTAGGAACCTGCACGTAGACCTCAGCGTCCTCGGTCACCTCCATTACCTGCTGTGATCAAGAATGCCCCCAGCAGACCTCCTGCTCTCCATACTCCCAGGTCAACCAGCCAGACTCGAAAGGCCACTGTTGTGAGCAGTGCCCCAAAGCCTCCAGCCCCACCAGCAGCCCGGGAAGAGGCCACAACATCAAAGCCAGTCCAGCCTCCTGATGTCCCCCGCAAGCCTGCTAACACTTCGACCAAGATTTCAACCCGATCTGCAGCTGTGGTGCAGCCGCTGACACTGTCTGTGCCACCCAACTCCAGGAGTCTTAGGGAGGTCCCTACACCCAGAGCTGTCAAGGCGCCAGTGGTCAAGAAGGCAGAACCACCCAGTAAAATATCAGTGGTGAGTTGGTTCTCATCTTTCAATCTCTAGCCTATCCTTGTGGAATAGAATTGGGCAGTATCCAGACTCCTGGAGCACCGCAGTGGAGCTCATGGAAGGTAAGGCGCCCTTGCTGCCATGAAAAGATGGAGTTTAGAGCAGGACTTCTGAAACTTTCTGCTCACACCCCATTTTGCCAAAATGATGTGCATCCCTGGGTGTGTAGGTAAATAAAATATGTATGCAAGTGAAACTTTTGGGGGGGATTTACGGGGGTACATCTGACTGCTCAGTGCTTGCCCAGGGCTTGTGCTCAGGGACCACTCCTGGTCGACCATATGTGGTGCTGGGGATTGAACGTGGGTCACCTTACCTGCTCTCTCTCTCTCTCTCTCTCTCTCTCTCTCTCTCTCTCTCTCTCTCTGTCCCACAAATGAAACGTTTATGGAAAATCAAATTTATTTTAAACAGTTGTAAAATGTTATAACAACCCACACTTTAAAAAGCTAGGCTCTAGGTAACTAAGGACACTTGGGCGTAGTGCATGGGGAATGGTGAATTCCCTCTTGAGGAAACTTTTCTTCACTCCAAGTTTTGAGTCACTCAGTTGACTTCTCATGCTGTGGGAAAAGGTAGATACCCTGGAGAAAAACAACTTTAGTGAGCTTTGCCTATGGTTTATGTATCTGAGAGAGGTCGTGGTTGGCAGGACAAGCAGGCTAAAATGAGAGTAAACTGAAAAACTCTTTCTTCCCTTAATGCTGCCACCCCCATCCCACCCCCCTCATCCCCCATGGTAGTTTGTGAGCAGAGGGCAGGAGTTTGCTGAATACTGGGTAATGTCAAGTGGGGCTTAACCCTGGTGCCATCTGGGAAACAGGTTCTTTCTGAAGCTCCCCAAAGTCCACATGGAATCATTCTGCATTTTAATTATTTATTTTGCTTTTTGTGTAACACCCAGCGATGCACAGGGGTTACTCCTGGCTCTGCACTCAGGAGTTACTCCTGGCGGTGCTCAGGGGACCATATGGGATGCTGGGAATTGAACCCGGGTCAGCCGCGTGCAAGGCAAACATCCTGCCGTCTGTGCTATTGCTCCAGCCCCCTTATTTTGCATTTTAGAGCTAACAGTCTCTCACAGTCTCTCTTCTCATACTCTAGGCTACTTCTGGGAGGAAGCGGGCTCTTGTCTCTGATGAAGAGGAGGCTGATGATGAGGTTGACAGGAGGAAGGAAAGGCCCAAGCGGGGCAAGCTTTCTGTGAAAGAGGAAAAGAAGGATTCAAATGAGGTAGGTGGTTAAGGGGAAGTTCTTACAGCCTCTCCTTCTGGGTCATCATCGTCCACCTGCAGTCTTTATAGCACTGTGCTTCATGACATGAGCTTTGCTGAAGGCTTGACTTTTAATCACGTAGATGATTTGAAAAATGCTGCCTGAACCCAGCCTGAGGGAGACTGGCTTCTGGCTGTACTCATAGGCCCCAGATCACACTGACACAGTCATGGAAGCTTGAACTGAACCTTTGCTGTCCTGACTCTGTGTTCAGAAAGGTAACAGAAGGATTGATGCACAGAAGAGTTGATTTGGAAAGTTCTTATTAAAGCATGGTGATTTAAACTGCCACCTCAGACAGAATGAAGTGACAGCTGATTGCCCTTAGCAAAAGTTTCCTTTTCAGGAGCCTTCTGTCAGATTCTGTTCTCCATTGCAGCTCTCAGATAGTGCTGGGGAAGAAGACCCAGCTGATCTCAAGAGTGCTCAGAAAGGTAAGAATTGGAGGGGGTATGCACTTAGAGTCCCACGGAAAGCTTGGGGCACAGTCATGGGGAGGACGCTGGGCCAGATGTAGATTACTATCCTGAGGCTTTATAGTATTTTTGATTCTAGGCTCCAGTACAACAGAGGTTTCAAGTCTAATCCTAAAACAATTCTTAAGATGATACACTGTGGCAAGGGGACACACCCAGCTGTGCTTAGGGCTTACTCCTGGTTTTATGCTCAGGGCAACGATGCTCAGACCACCATATGGTGTGGTGGGATCAAACTTGGTTTGACCACGTGCAAGGCAAATGACTATCCACTGTGTTATCTGTCTGGTCCTCCTTCAGTTTCTTTTTAATATAATTTCTTGGTGGTTCTTTGTGATGGTTACTAATCTTGATGCGTTTTGGCACTCCCATGGCATGTGGTGAAAGAGATGGTAACTGGGCTTCACATCCTTGGGATAGAAGGCACAAGCATCTAGTGGGACCAAGCAAACCTTGGAACTGCTTTTATCAAGTTGACTCTGAGTCTCAGGGGACTGGTTTTTGGTTTTTGTTTGTTTGGGGGCCATACCCATCTGTGCTCAGATCATTTCTGGCAGGACTCAGGGAACCATATGCAAAACCATGAATCAAACCTGGTTGACTGTGTGAGGGCTCCTCTGAGCTCTCTCCTTACCCCCAAGTAGTTTAGTTTCCTTACTCACACTCTGCTCCCATTTTCAGATAAAGGACTGCATGTGGAGGTGCGTGTGAACAGGGAGTGGTACACTGGCCGTGTCACAGCCGTGGAAGTGAGCAAGCTTGCAGTACGGTGGAAGGTGAAGTTTGACTACGTGCCCACAGATATAACACCAAGGGACCGCTGGTAATGCTCCTTTGGAGAGGTTGACAGAGTTGGCGGGAGGCAGCCCATCTGGGAACCAAGGACACATAACAACAAAAGAACTGTTTTTTTTCTAGGGTAGAGAAAGGCAGTGAGGATGTGCGGCTGATGAAGCCCCCATCTCCTGAGCATCAGAGTCCTGACACACAGCAGGAGGTGGGTGAGGAGGAGGAGGCAGAGGCACCAGCAGCTGTGCCCCAGCAGGATGTAGCCGTGGCAGAGCCCTCCACTTCTGACTGCGTCCGCATTGAACCAGACACCACTGCCCCAAACACCAGCCATGAGACCATTGATCTGCTGGTCCAGATCCTCCGGTGCGTGAATCTTTCTGCTTTCATGATGTTTTACCTGCTCATGTCCCCATCCTGAATTTCTGTCTCTACCACCTTCTTTCTTATTTAGGAATTGTTTACGGTATTTCCTGCCTCCAAGTTTCCCCATCTCCAAGAAAGAACTGAGCACTATGAATTCAGAAGAACTAATATCATTCCCTCTGGTGAGTCAGATTTCCCTAAAAAAGAAAAAATTGTTTTGGGGCCACACCCAATTTTACTCAGGACTTACTCCTGGTTCTGCACTCAGGGATCATTCCTGGCAATGCTTGGAGACCATATGGAATCCTGGGGATTGAACTTGGGTTGGCCGCATGCAAGGCAAGCATCCTAGCTGCCGTACTATCACTCCAGCCCCTTGACTTGTTTTTTAACTCTGCAAGCCTCCATTGGAGATGAGATAGCTAGCTCTTCAACTATATAGTACCCTCTCTGTCGGCTGAGAACATGTAATGTAGACTTGGTGGGAAAAGATGTAGCATAAACATAACTAGCATACCAAGAGCCAGTATTACTCCACCCTACTGTGCCATGGCTGGGTCCTCATTTGGGATGCCAGGCTGGCCTGGTTTGACATTTCATCATGAATATATCCTCTTTTCTCTCTCATGCATGACACAGACAGGGACTAAACTTGTCCCATGCAACAGTGAAGACTCAAAGCATGTAAAACTTGGAGATGAGAAGAATCAAACTTATATTACACTGATATGGCACCTCCCCAAGTAGGTCTTCTTGTAAATCAGCAAGACAGGCTTTCCTTCACATAGAATAAGATTCAGTAGCAATAGGAGTTTATCAGGTAGCAGGCATGACGCTCAGATAATGCTGTTGACATGGGTAGGAGGGCTTGTGGCAGTGCTGGGGGCAGATTTACTCAGGTCTAAAGAAAATGTGTTCTGGCAGGTGCTTATGACAAGGATCAGAGTAGTGTTTGAGGTGGGTAGACTTAGGGACAACAGGGCAGACAGGGATCAAGACCGCAGACAATGTGGTGAACATTTAGGAAAGAAGGGGCCCCAGAGGTAGTATATCATATTTTGAATGCTTGGTCTCACTTAGCATATATGCTCAGTGATTTTTTTTTGTAGGCATACTGCTATTTATTCAGCCACTGATTAGCTGAATTGTGCATGAACTCCACCTTACTTTTTTTTTCATTTTTTATAATTTCATTTATTGAATCACCGTGAGAGCAGTTACAAAGCTTTCGGGTCTAAGTCTCGGTTATACAATGATACACCCGTACCTTCACCAGTGCCCATTCTCCACTCCCAACAACCCCAGTATAACCCCATCCCACACCCTCCCCCTACCTGTGGAGCAGATGATTTCCACGTTACTCTCTACTTTGATCACATTCAATATTTCGACACCAGACCCACCATTATTATTTGAGATTTTACCCCAACACTCAGATCTGCTGAAAAGGCAACAGTAGACAATTTGTGTTCTATTGCTGGTTATGAATAACATATGATGTCCTGTGGCAGCAGTCGGGCCATGTGATTTTGAAATTCCGAAATTTTAACACTTAAATCTAGAGGGATTTCTGCCAAAAGCCACTGGGTTTCGAGATTTGGTCCTGAGTCTCTGGGATCATGGCTGTTGAGCAGCTTGATCAGGAGCCAGAGAGGCCATTCATGGGCGATGACTTGGGGTCTTGTTGGGACGGGGAGACCAGGACTGGCTCCACCCCCATCCTTTGATGCTCAGTGATTTAAACTTTGTATGAAATGATGAAATGGAAGCCAGCAAAAAGTTTGAGTAATTGTCATCTCATCCCTTTTGTGGCCATCGCTGAAGTGGTAACTACCAAAAAGAAGTTCAATCCTTCTGTGATTTCTGACCAGAGCAAGAACCGTAAAGACATTTCAGTACACCACCCCACATTCATCAGAAGATTATGTCTTTCCCCTCTTCCCAGGGAGTTAACACAGAAGTGCAATGCCCATCTGAAAGTCCCATGAGGTTCAGGTTGTGAGAGGCAACCACAAAGGTCAGCAAATTGGGAAAGTAGTCCAGGGTTACCGGAAGAAATAAGTCATCTACAGTGAGTGAGTCCAGCGGGAGCAGGCAGATAACAGAACTGTGTGTGGATCACCGTGGACTCATGAGTTTGCCCCATTGGCTTTCCTCCTGACAGAAAGAGTACTTCAAGCAGTATGAAGTGGGACTGCAGAATCTGTGCCATTCCTATGAGAGCCGTGCCGACTCGCGGGCCAAGGCCTCCGAGGAGAACCTGCGTACATCTGAGAGAAAGCTCCGGGAGACAGAGGAGAAGCTGCAGAAACTGAGGACGAATATCGTGGCGCTCCTGCAAAAGGTGCAGGAGGTGAGCCAGGCAGGCCTCTCATTGCAGCTGGACCACCTGGTATTTGGGAGGGGGGCATGGGCACCGCCTGCATCCTTCTCCTCGCTCACAGGCATCTGTGGTTTCAACCTTGGCAGTACAGCATCCTGACCAGGAGGGCTGGAGGTGGTGCGGCTGCCTGGGCTTCATCCCAGCCAGACCCACGGTATCATTTTGCCCTTGTTTAGAAATTTCATGTACAAGCTGGTCCTCCAAGCCATAAAACACAAGGTCTCACTTTCCAGATGACGCCCAGATGGGATTAGGTCTCAGTCCTTCATCCAGGCTCTGTGCCTGTCATATGGGGACTGGGTGAACCAGACAAAAATAACTGTTTTATTTGTAACAGTGTGGTGGAGGAGACAGGCCAGAAGTGCTATTGAGCGGGGGCTTTTCAGGGGACAGCGCATAAAGCGGGAGGTCGTGGTGACAAAACGTGGGCACCCTGTGAAGAGTGAGATTCTAGTGGAACCTTGGTGACAGGAGGAAGAACTGGGCGGATTTGCATTATTTGAGAGAAACAAGGGTAATTCTGGTTTTGAAGTGGGGTGACAGATGAGATTTTGCAGTTTGAGCCAAGAAATCTGGGCGTCATCTATGCATAGGGGATGGGAGGAAGGGAAGCATGAGTCAGCTGGAACTAGCCTGATGGGAGGGGGATGGGGAGGGGGGTGGGGTGAGGTGAGATGAAAGGGAAGGGGATCTGGGCTCAGGCTCCAAGGGCAGGAAAAAAATAGAAATCCACCCCCCCCAGCCCCGCCACCACCCCTCACCCCCTTTCCTCCCCTTTTTCTTCCAACTATCTTCTGGTCTCCAGCTGATTTTGCCCCTCTGTTCCAGGATATAGACATCAACACAGATGACGAGCTGGATGCCTACATCGAGGACCTGATCACCAAGGGGGACTAAGGAGTTTGGAGCCAGAGATCAGCTCCCTCAAAGCAGAGTCCCCCTGGGGGGGAGGGGTGATGTGTTTCATTTATGGGTTGGTAGACTTGATTTGAGCTACCTGGAACATTTTGTGCTTTTGGAGGGAAAGATACTCTGATTCTTTGAATCTTCCTAAGTTTATAAATAATTTATTTTTAAAAAGAAATGATGCTGTGCTTGCTGTGAGACCATGCTTTAAAAAAAAAAAGTCCTGGGGCGAAGGACAGAACCAGGATGCCACTTCCCTTGACTCCTGGCCTCTTAAAAAATGACAAACCCACTATCAGCCAGAGAGGCAGGGCTGGAGGAGCCATATTGGGATTTGAGGGATTGGTGGGGTGGAGGGGGCAAGCCCTCTCCCAACCTCCTTGTTTGCTGCTCATCCTGCGCTTACTCAGCTGCTCCCAAGGGAACTGTGAAATGGAAAAGGCTCAGCAATGAGTTGGCCCTCGGCGCCCCCCCCACCCCCGCCCCCTCGTGACTGCCATCTCAGTCTCAAGGGGTCTGAGCATCATCCAAAGCAGCAGCCAGTCTTGGCCATTTTGTTCTCAAATAGCTTCAGGAAGAAAGATCCTCTGGCACACCACTCCCTTTACCACCCAGATTGACCTCCCTGCAGGAGTGACTGCCTCAGTGTACTGTGGGTCCAGTTCTGGTCAGACCACAGATGTGGGCAGCACACCAAATGTTTGCACTCCAGATGACCTCTTTGGGAACTGCTGATCTGGTGACACTGCAGTCTGTTGCTCTGGCAGGGTCATGAGGAATCTGCTGATCTGAAGAGCCTGCTGCTACTTTTTCTTTTATTGCTGCCCCTCTGCCTGCACCACCCAGTGTATGCCACAGTAAAAGAAGAAAGTGGGTGAGTGTGGAAGGTGGGAACTTCAGAGGACGTTTCCTTCCCTGGCCTTCTTTCATCTTCTCAGGGTCAAAGATAAGAGATACTGAGTTTTCTCTGGAATAGTGATGGGGAAAATATGATTTCACCCAACTCTCTTTTTGCACCCTTTGGGGACCTGGGGTTTCTAAAGGCACAGTAACTGGCATTGTACCTGTGATTTGAACCTCTCGTGTTTGGACATCCACCCATCCACTCTGTGCAGCCCAGAGATTGGGAAGCACTACTGAGGGAAATCAGCCACGCTAGCATCAAGTTCTCACCTACTTCTGTACATGGCCGGACACTCGGTGATGTGAAGGTTTTAGGCTTCCCCAAAACACATTCCTGGGAAGGGCTGTTTGGCGAAATAGCCACCTGCTCACATACTCTTCTCCGAGAGTCTTGATTTCCTTCCATTCTATCCTTGTCAGCATATTAATCCTATTTTTGTTCTCCAAATCATTATTTCATTCTAAAGAAAGTTGGGTTCTATTTTTTTTTCCATTAAAGGGTAATACTCTGAAGGTTTTTTTTGGGGGGGTGGGTACACCCAGCTGTGCTGGGGCCTATTTCCTGCTCTGTGCTCAGGAGTTACTCCTGGGGGTGCTTTGGGGACCATGTGTTGCCAGGGATCAAACTGCAGTTGGCAACATGCAAGGCAAGCACCCTAATCCCCTGTACTATCTCTTTGGCCCCCTCAAGTTTTTAAGTTTAAACATCTGTAACCAAAAATGCAATTATTATAAAGTTTTACTGGTGAGACTCCTGAGCTCAGTCTGATTTCTTCTCAGTAAAATCCTTTATTTCCTCCTTTTCATTCTTTCCACCACTTGTGGCTTCCAAATTCTTCATTTCCACCCTCTTTGTTGTTTACAGAAACAACACCTCAACACTTACAAGAAACTGAAATACTTAGGTTATCAAATGTTTTTAGCGTCAGTGTGGATGTGTCCGTGTTGCTGTTTGAATCCATAGCTATAAGGAATGCAGCCTGTTTCCCAGGCAGAGCTGCTGTTTCCCAGGTGTGAAGATAAAATGCAGCGGTTGGACTTGGGAGAAGGAAAATGAGTCTGATCTTTGGACGATCCTTAACCACAAAGCTGCAAGAAGGTGAATGAATACGGCAACCCTTGGTTGTAAAGAATTGGACCTTTAGTTTTTATTTATGATTTTAAAAAAAGTACAGAAGACTAAATCATGGAAAGCAAAACTTTTCTCATTCTAATCCCTCACCTTTTCCTGGAGAGAGTATCCATCCAAGTACACACCCACTTGTTCTATTTCTGCCTCCTTCCCACTTACTGTATCTTGGAACTTGTTTGTGAATAGTGCATATGGGTCTATTTTATTCTACCTAGTCACAGAGTATTTCATTGTCTTGGGTGTACTGCCATGTAACAGTCCCCTGTTTACAAACAATTCAGTTTTTAACATTTATAAAATTTTATAAATGTGTGTTCATTAACTCAGGTCTGTATATTTGTGTGTGTGTGTGTGTGTGTGTGTGTGTGTGTGTGTGTATAGTAAATTAGAGAGAGGTGGCTATAAGATGGTGGGTACATTTAAAAAAAATTCTTTTACTTTTTTTTTTTTCCATCACACCTGGTGAATAATCTCAGAGGTTACTCCTGACTCAAGAACCACTTGTATCAGTGCTTAGGGACCGTATGGGATGCCAGGATCAAACCCAGATTGACTGCATACAAGGCAGGCACTCTACCTGCTGTGCTATCTCTCCAACCCCAGATGGTGGATATATTTAAGTCTAAGATACATTCCAGGAAAAAGTGTCAATCTCAGGAATCAATGGTATAGTTCCTCCATATACTTGGCTGTATGACGCTTCTTACTTCTTAACTGTTTACTAATCAGATGGTACAAAATGATGAATTTTTTAGTTGAATGAACCTAAGTGACATTGAGCATCTTCATTGGCCAGCTGTATCTCTCTTCCAGTATATAACTGCAGTTCTGAATCTTGGGTTAAGGACACTTATAAGATGGATGTATAGAATATAGAGAGGCAATCTCTTCAGCTCTTAAAATCCCATTGATTTAGGATGTAAACACTGCACTAGGGGATGGAGCAATTGTACAGAGGATAGGCCATTTCCTTTGTATGCAGCTGACCCAGTTTCGATTCCTGGCATCCCGTATGGTCCCCTAAGCCCCGCCAGGAGTGATTCCCGAGTGCAAAGCCAGGAGTAACCTCTGAGCATCGCCAACTCAAAAAGAAAAACGAAACTCAGTAGGGATACCAGGTTAACTTTTTTTTTTTTTGCTTACAGAGAAAAGTAAGGGTTAATTAATGAGATAAACCATTCTGGGTCTTATTCTGTCCGACTGACACTGCATTTTTGGCTCTTGTGCCCAGTTCCTCTAACTATGACAGTTCTTTTGACCTGTGGTTCAAGCAGTCTTGACCAGAGTTCACAGCTCTAAAGACTGAGAGCTTAATCATTCTTGCTGTTTAAATAGACCACAAGGCTCAGACTGAATGGGCGGTTTCTCCACTGGCTGCTTGTCTCTGGGACTGGTGGTGGTTGCCAAGCTATTGGAAACATCTCAGAAGTATTCTTTGGAAAGGTGGAATCTCCGAGGCTTCCTTTGGAATACCTTAATGTGCTTGGTCCTGTGAACATGCGAACAGACAGAAAACAGAGCTCCGAAGAATGACAATCTTGTCCAAAAGAGCTAAGACTTTCTTTGCTGCCATTATTAAGGCCTCTGACTGTCCTCTTCCTATTCTCAGCTCTGGTGGCATACCCTCCAGTGAGTAAGAGAGTAGACAGAGAAGAACTGGCAAGGCACACCCACTCAGCAATAAGCCGAATTGTTACCAGTCCTATTTGTAAATTGCCTGTTTACATCCAATAACCTGGATTACGCCACGTCCAAGGAGGGCTTCTGGCGGGTCCTACAAGGACTTCCCTTCCTTCTTTGAGTTTGTAAGGCTTCAGAAATGTGATGCCCACCCCAAGTCCTCATTCCTTCTCTAAAGCATCCAGCTTATTTAGTCACAAGGCCTTTTGCTACTGGAAATTTACCCAGAGGTGAAAATGTTGCCAGTGATCTTGACTGACAGGTTGTGGTACTGTTCTGTAGTACTGCCCTTCTGTTGTTCATCGATTTGCTCGAGTGGGCACCAGTAATGTCTCCATTGTGAGACTTTTAACTGTTTTTGGCATATTGAATATGCCACAGGGAGCTTACCAGGCTCTGCCATGCGGGCGGGATATTCTCAGTAGCTTGGCGGGCTCTCCGAGAGGGACCGAGGAATCGAACCCGGGTTGGCCGCATTCAAGGCAAACGCCCTATCTGCTGTGCTGTCGCTCCAGCCCTGACAGGTTGTACTGATTGAAATTAAAATGGGAGACCAAAAATCCCTTGCTGCCTTTTTGTTTGTTTTCTGGTTTGGGGGCAAACCTGGTGATGCTCAGAGGTTACTTCTGGTTCCGCACTCGAATCACTCCTGGCAATGCTTGGGGGCCACGTGGGATGCTGAAGATTGAACCCAGGTGGGCTGAAGCAAGGGCAGATGCCTTACCCATTGTTCTGTGCATACTCTGGCCATGCCCCTTGCTGCCTTGACCCCCAATTGTTGCTTTCAAGCTTCCCTGATCCCCACCTGTATGCTTTTGGCAGCACTCAGTGGCCTCTTGGGATGTCAATGGGTCTGCCATTTGACGGATTTCAGTAAAGCATGAGAGCAGGGCCTCCACCCAGCATCCAAAGCACAGGGTGGCCCGAGATTCAGGGTCTGACTTCGTAGCGGTTGCCAGTGGAAGCTGTGGGAGCTCAGCACTGGGGCAAACCAGACTTGGACCTGTGGGAGGACACTGAGACCTGTGGAGAATAAGGACATGATGGGTATATCCTTTCTCTCGCCTTCTCTCCACTGCTACAACGCTCACGGGGGGTTCTCTGGGACCCTTTCCTTCTTGAACAGAGAAGTAACCCGTTTTGAATTTATTGTTTCTCCTCCCTCCCTCTTCTCTGTGTCTCCCCTTTCCACTGGGCCATCAGTAAGAACAATTTGTCAAAAACGGGGCTTGGGGCCCTGTGGTAGAAGAGAAACAAACTGAAGGGAGAGTTTGTTGATTTTTTTTCCCTTTTTTGGGTCACACCTGGCAATGCACAGGGGTGCCTCCTGGCTCTGCACTCAGGAGTTACTCCTGGCGGTGCTCACGGGACCATATGGGATGCTGGGAATCGAACCCCGGTGGGCCGCGTGCAAGGCAAACGCCCTACCTGCTGTACTATCTCTCCGGCCCCTGAAGGGAGAGTTTTAGTTCC